GGTGCATCAGACCTCAGCAACTCTTTTTTTCCTCAGTCACTGGCTGTAAAGAGATTGAAGTTATGGACTTTTGCAGCATCTTGAAAGTCAGATATCCAGGAGAGGACTTCTCCTAGACTAACAACTCTCTCATATTATCATTTCTCTTCAGTGACCAGCTCTTCGTTTAGTTCTTGGAGCTGTGGAAAATGTCATTTGCCTCAATAAGAATCTTTTTCAACTTAAAACACAAACATTCAAGTAAAGATCAATACATACTTTAGCAGCAACAGCAAATGCTGCAATATGTTATGTCGTAGTCACAGAACTAAAATTTTCTCCTGCTTATCTACTCTGTGATATATCCAGGTAAAGCTCAATTAACTTTTATAACTTTGTTTTAATATATATATATTAGAGAATATTTCCATTTCAGTTTTAGGATTTAATTTATCCTACAAGGGAGACACACTGAACTGATGAGAGATTTTGAATTAGGTTTTCATATTCCTCTTATCAGCTTGACTGGCACCACTGAACACTTGCCTTTGTTATGTTTTTCTAATTATAATATTTTATTATTTTGTGATTGTAAATATACATTTTTGTCCTTGTACAGCTTTCAGTTTTGACTCTTTCTTCCTGTTGACCTTGAAGAAATACTTAGTCACACTCCATAGTTTGGCAGCTTATGAACTTCCAGTCAGCATGTTGAACTGACTGCTCTGCATGTAAAACAGGTAATACCACAACAACAAACAAAGTAGAAACAAACTCAATACAAAACACAAAGGCGAGTGTGTTATGGTGGATGTGGAACTTGTAAGAAAGGTGTGAAGAAACCTTACTTACTATTTCAGTTACCAGTTCAGTGTGAAGTACACTATAAAAAGTTAACAAGAAAAAGTAATACCTAAAATAAATTCCAATGTTAATATTACAATCTAAACACTAATTTTAAACCACATTGGACAAAACGTATCCTTTATTAGGTATGCAAACGTTAAAGCTAAAGATAGTAAAACTATCAGCTAAAACGTGAAGCGAAAAAGTATATTTTACAGTGACAAACATGGCTTTATGTACAAAACATGATAATATCAATAAAGCCAGGTTTGAACGCAATTCTACCTTACACATGTCGACTTCATCCACTGCAATCCAAGAGTAAGAGCATGGCAATCCCTGGTCATTATCCGATTAACTGAAGAAAAGACATCCATCTATTTCACAACATCACAAGCTATTTTTCTTTGAGAAAACACGGCTAAGTTCCAGTTAGTGAATTCACGTTTCGTGTGCTCCAAAGGAAGGGAAAGCTGAGGAGCTTACCTGAGCGACTGTCTGCATTCAAACTAAACTAAAAAAAAATATACCAAAATTTCGAAACATTTACATACTAAGGGGAAAGCTAACATGTTACATGGTCTTGTAGCACACATGTTGGTCAGGCAAAACGGATAATCTGGCAAGGCTCTGGAACCATCAGGAACATCGGTGGTGTACCTGTAGCATATTGAATATATAAATAGCATTTCAGATAATCTTTTGCTGTCTCTTTAACAGTATCTGATATCCGACTAGCAAATACGCATATGCTGGTTTAATACTGCTCCTGGGGAAAATAATAATATATACCTCCATCTCCGTCAGGCACCACAAGGTTTCTTTTACTCATTAGCTCTACTTTACAATGTGATCCTCTGAACTAGTTATTATCCATTGTCTTGGAAATTATTCGTTACTTTAGTCTTCTTGAAGCCTAATAAAGGTCCTACTTTTGTTAATTCTTACCATCTTATTAGCCTCACCAGTGTTTTTAGTAAGACTTTTGAACTCAATCTTGTCACATGACTGTATCGGTTTACTTCCAACCATCACCTTTTACCACGTAATCAATCACATTTTCGACTTTTTTTGCCATATAGGAACAATTACTCAGATTTTCCAACACTATCTCCAATCGCTTTGATGTGTGTGTCTTTTCTCATAGCAAAGCCACATGGGGCTATCTGCTGTGTCCACCGAGGGGAATCAAACCCCTGATTTTAGCATTGTAAATCCGAAAACTTACAGCTGCCCCACTGGGGACAATCGCATTAATAAAATAACAACTATCATGTACAATTCCTTTTGATTTTGAAAAAGCATTTGATTCAATCTGGCAATAATATCTGCTCTACAAACTATGGAAAATGACCCTCCCACTAAGTTATGTTAGCTTATCAATTCATATCTTTACAGACGACGAGGTGTTTGTTCTTCAGAAAGCAACATCTATAGATCATTTAATTAATATCTTATCCCCTGTTCTTTGAGGATCAGTACTTTCGTCATTGCTTTACATACTGTATGTAGCTGATATACCTCAACCATCAAATATTAATGTTTTCAGATATGCTGCTGACACTGCCTCTGTTGTATCCTGTTCAACTACTATTACTATCAACAAGTCTTTACAGATCACTATCAATCAGTTTTCACATGTTGTCATCAATGGTGTCTGAACATCAATGTTACCCAGATCAAAGCATTTTTATCTGGTCTCATTCGAAAGAAGTTTCGACAATGTCACAACCATGAACTTTTTAATGTTCAGATCAGTCACATTCTTATTCATCTTTCATCTAGTGTTAAATACACTTGACCTGCAAAGCTCACTTTTATATGCTGAGTCATAAAGTTTTACAGCATCTTATCCTTGTGAAAAGCTTACCTGGATGAACATGAGGATTAATCCACCTCCTTGACATTATACATACAAGACCACCTACTCGTGTCTAATTTATGCTCACACTTTTTGGATTCATTTTGTGATCACCTACTGGTTATAGAGTGTCGGGCTATTCGTGTAATTCGTTCAGTCTATAAAATCAATTTACTTAGTAATATTAATAATAATAAGTTCCCAATTTTTATAATAAAAGAAAGACTCCTTAGGCAACGAGTTGTGTGATAAAATAGATAGATCTGGAGTTTACCTCTCGTCAAACATCTTTTCCAGCTTCTTACATAATATATCATTCAGGGTTTTAAAACTAAAATGTCTTAATCGACAGTTTGCTCACTAAAGAGGTTTATCCTCCAAAGAAGCTACTTACACCTCTCCATCACCTTCTATATATGTATTTGATGTCTCTTCCAGTAACTGACCCTGGTTATGATGTCGCACCAATGCCTAATTCATCTTACTATATTTATCCAACACATTGATTCAACAGTATATTTTAACTGATTACGTTGCCTTACGAATAGTGTATCACACTGTTTTTATAAACGTAATATTATATATCAGTCACTTTACAATTTCTGTCATTCACCTCTCAACCTTTTTATACATATCTCTCCTGCATTAAAAGCTCATTCTCTTGGGAGCAGAACACAGCGCAATCGTTAGCGTGGTGAACTGTAGATCCGAAGCTCCGTAATTCGCACCCGTTACCTCCAAGAAAAAGAAAGAAAAATCGCACTTCACACTTAGGAGTCGTAGGTGTGCTACAAAAGTGACGATCATATCCTTATATAAGAATAGCGCAAAGTTTGGCTGTTCGTGGTGTTGAATAGCTGCTTTCACTCTATCGCTTCAAAAGTTCGTACGACTAGCGCAAATCTCTCATTGTCCATGTCCATCCCAATTGGCGATTTTTTATAATAAAAGAAAGACTCCTTGGGCAACAAATTGTGTGATAAAATAGATATATCTGGAGTTCTATTTCCACACACCTCTGATTTTGAATCCAAAACTGACAAATTATGGGGAATATGGAATAAACAAACATCTGCAGTAGGTTATTTCTATCAGAGATTTTAAGATTAATGCTTTCGTAAACTTTGAGTGTTTAAATTGTAACTTTTGAAACTATTATACCCAGGGGTGTTGTGGAGCCGGAGCGGTGCGGAGCATCGATAAGGTACCTTTTTTAGTCTCATAGTGCTTAGCTGTTAATAATTATAACTATCATTTTATGCACTTAAAATATTTGCTAGTTAGAAGTTGTGTTAAAAACTATATAGTAATAACAATAGTTAATACTGAAAGAATATTAACGCTGACTAGTGTACAATAAAAATACAAATGTACTTCAGTCAAACTACGTGTGTGTGAGTATCAGTGGAGACGCCTTCTGAAGTTCTGGACAAAGAAAGCATTTCATTTCCCCAGAAATGCTCGCTTTTATGACATATAAAATATTACATGTATGGCAGAATTTTCAACAAATCAGAAGTAGAAAAAAAGAATCGGAATTCAGCGCCGCTTTTATCACTATTTTATCTAATAAATGGCAGGGCTCTGGTATGTGTATACCTTGAAAATCAGGATAATTGGATAATAAATCATTGTAGAGCTTTAACATGTACATTGCTATAGAATGTGGACCTAAACACGTCATACAGCCCACTCCTGTTAACATTTTTCTTAAGTGTACCAAGCAGTGTTACCAAATGAACATACAACAAAAAAGGAGCATAAAATTTTTCATTTTAAACCCATTTTATAATAACGAAAGTTTTATGCTTTACATTAATTACTTTAAAATAATTGTTTAAACAACATATTTCAATTACATGATAGGAGATTGTAACTATTAAACAGTTATTCCAAAAGTCAAATTATATATTATAAAAAATGCCATTAATCATTGGAATAGCTCAAGTACTTTTTGTTTATTTTACCGTCGCACCATTGATTATAGTGCGTAGTTAAATAGCGTTTCAAAGAATCTTGGGCTCTTCATCGTTCAGCCCAATATGGGAGTTCTGATCCTATCCTATCTGACTTGGTAGTTATTTTAGGTTTATTAGAAAACATGGAGGTGTTCAGAAATTAATATTCTTTTATATATCTACTTACGGGAGACAAACAAAAGATGTGAAATGCTACTTTTACATCACTTTTATTTTGAAACTGTATGTAATTGTATGATTCTGTGAAAAAAATACGGTTTTAATTTTTGACTCATGCGCTCACACTATTTTTTACTTTTTTTATTTTGGTAATTTAGTAGTTTGATGCTAGAGGGCGATATTATTCAAGAAGGAAGTGGATATTGGAGTAGGGTTTGACTTTGCGGCAGATATTGGGAATATAGTAATATAAAGGATTTTAAAGGAGGAATACAATGTCGGAAGAAAATCATGATGGTAGTCTTGATGGGAGTGAGTCGCAAGATATTCCCGAGATAGAACTGATAATTAGAGTGAGTAAAAATTTTGAAATATTAGGATGAAATTAAGCTTAATAATTAGTATCGTCTTTTGTACTGACAAGTTATTGAGAAATGACATACTATTAGTTATCAGTATTGGTCACTATTACATGAAAGTATCGTTCATGCATGTAAAAAATGGAAGATAGGCTTAGCTGGATCAGAAACAGCAGTATTGGTAGAAAGGTTGTCACCTATCACATATGCTAGTGTTACTAAGATGAATACAAAAATTGAAATTACAGAGCTCAGTGCTACTGCTAGTGAATCATACTCGGAAATGAGCCCGCTTTTTGATTCTGATATTTTACACTTCTATAAGTTTTCTCTGATAAAAGTGATATCAACTTTTTTTTAAAATATTTGTTGTATTATTACAACGTCATTATGTATTTATAAAAAGTTTTGACACAGTATAATCTCAATTTTAGGAAAAAAAATATATGCATGTTGATAGAATTTTTCTTTCACTTGGTATTTACACCACATTCATTGTTGCTCTTCATGAATATTACTGCTTGGCTAACCAACAAAAATTGAATATAATGTATGCACATTGCTAAGCAAGCCATTCGAAAAGGTCATATCTTAAGAAATTTTTTTATCACAGAAGGAGACTGCATGTGGGCATTGAAAGCCAAGAGCTATCATCTTTGATATTCAGTATTGTATTTCCAAATGTTTTATTCCACTACTAAAATAGACCATCTAGAAATACTTGGATTTTCATCATAGCTTATAGCCATTATGTAATTCTGGAGGTGAAAGATAACCATATACAAATTAGAGCTTGGTAATTAATAGAATTTGATAATTATTGACCATTGGGCTCATTAATCAATTATATTCATCTAATAGATTTTTCTCATGACACTTGGATAGTTGGAATAAATAAAAATGGTAATACTTAGAAACAGTAATTTCAATTACTTGATTATATTTATAAGTTATAATACTAATTCATTAAACTGAAAAATAAGAAATCATAGTGGTGGTATTATGATTACTTGGGTAATTGAAATAATTAAAAACTGTAATACCTGAAAACACTAATTTTGATTAGTTTATTATTTTTGTGGTATTAATCAATTTAATTAATCAGTTATTTTACATGTCAGTTACTGATGTAATTGAAGCTCATAGATAATTTATTAAGTTAATCACCTAGCTCCACTATAAATATACATTATTACAGAATATCACAATTAGTCATATATTCAACAAAATTCATGGCCATACAGGATTTTTAATTAAGTATTTTTATTTTGTGACCTTTGAATACTTTTTGCTTACTTATATATTGATATGTTTAAGAGACAATAATAATAAAAGCCAACCTTTTATATAAGGTATTTTAATTTGTGACTCGTTGTATTGTAACTGAATATACTTTTGTGTTTAACTGTTGCTCAGATCATGAATCATTTCAGCAAATACTTGCTGAATATTATCATCTTATGTTCAGAATTGATATTGGTTCCAGTGGCAACAATTTTGTCTTCCCTTATCAATCACATAACTAAAGTGTAAATATTGGTAGGGTGATATTTGAGCTGAAAGATTACTAATATAAATTGTTAACATTTTATAAGAAATCATATATTTATGTATATATTATGATAAGCCACATCTCCAGGTAAGCCATTTCACAAGTTTATTAATAATGGCAAAATAGAGTTTGTATCTACAATATATACTACTAAAGGTTAAAACTATTATTTCTAATATTGTATTTTATATTTTCTACTTTTCCAATCATTGTAAGACTTAAATTGCTAACTAACAGTGTTGAACATCTAATCAAGACTTCTAATTCTCTTTTATTCTGGAGAAATTATGTCCCAAACTCTAAGCATCTCAATGTGGCTTAAATGACTGAAACAAAAGATGATATAGTACACCCACCTAGGCACTGTTTTTGACATGTTGATATCCTTCCTTAGTAAAGTGAACAAAAAGTACACATGATACTCAAATGAGTCTTCATCAAAATCATGTACAGAAGAACTGTACAGTGCTACAAGAACTTTTTTGATTCTTAAACTCAGAATTTCTATTTGCTTTTTCTATCACAGTTAAATAATCAGGAGATAGCCTTATGATTTTATTAATAGCTAAAAGGAAGTTAAGAAATCAAAGACGAATTACTAGAAACTGCTGAAAATGTTACACAGAAATTGTTTTTCAGGTTGGTTAAAGAAAGCAAAATGCTATGTTTTTGTTTAAAGCTATGAGATGGTCGAGCCTTTAATCATTTCTCTTCTGATTTTACAGGGGAGGACGTTAGCAATGTACTTGGCACAAAGGATTTTTATTTCCTTAATCACTTAGATATTAATCCCTTGATGGTAAAAAGACAGATTAAGCAATTAAAAATATAGTGCTAGGAATGGACAATGTTTATTGTTTCCAGTGTTTTACACGAAATCAAAGGTCAGATATATGAGCTTCTCTCTTTCATTTTATAGGCCTAAGGATTAGAGAGTTGTTAATGTAATCCTATTTTCAAATGGAATGATAAGAGTTGCCCTGAAAATTATAGGACATTTAGTCTTACTTTTGTACTGAGTGAGAAAAAAAAGAAATCTAAATTATTAAGTGAAATATATAATAAAATAGAGCCATCATGCATTCAATAAAGGGAAATCTTGTCTTACTAATCTATTAACATGTTTTTGTAGATGTTACTTGTTATCTGAATGGTGGAGTGGTTGTGGATTTGGTGTACTTAGAAAGGCTTTTGATAAAGTACCACACAAAAGATAAAGAAAACCACAATAGAGGGGTTGTTCATAGAGTAGTTAATTTGATTGTAGGTAAGAGAAGGTAAAAATGCTGGACTGTTAGTGGTATTTGCTAATCGATTAACTTTATCACTATGTGTCACTGGTCATGTCATCATGTTTGTTGACTTGCATTCAAAATTTTATTGAACTACTATTTGATGAATTTATGTCAATAAGTTTGGTATCAAATTGTAGTTTATAATTCAAATTTTGGTATCATACAACATTGGTTACGACGTCAAATTGACAGATCCCATATAGTTATGGTAGAGAAAATAATCGACAAAATATAAAGTTTTACTGAAGACAAACATTTGAATCGTACTTACAAACCTTTAGTAAAAATACTTCATCAAAATATCTGAATTTCTGTGTACAAAATACTTGGAATCATTACTAAATGTCTACCAAATTTTGCGAAGATACACTTACAGCATTTAAAGTGGTAGTGTATATACTTGATGTGTGCACATGTGTATATGAACTCATGTATTTTAAACTGAGCCAGAACAGATAGCCCATTATAAAGCTTTGTGCTAAACAAAAAACAAACATAATAGTGATATCTCAATTACTTGGATAGTTGGCATAATCAGAAACCTAATTTTCATTATATAATTATTTTCATGGCAGTATATTTAATCATAACTTAATCAGTTGTTGGAATAATCAAAAACACTAATCAATTATAATGATTAATCATTTAAATCACCCAGCTCTGCTACTGGTGAGTCTCAGCAGTTAATTCTTTGGCCTTTGCTTTTTATTATTTACATTCGTGATATTTACAGTGCATAATTAGTAAATTACTAAAGTTTGCTGATGACATTAAACTCTTGGGTATTTTTGGCTGTATTGATGATGTTGAGATAGAACAGAATTGCTCAAAATCAATTGGTAAGTTGAACAAATATTTTGAAAATAATGTATTTTTATGGGAAGGTTAAGGTAATGCATTTGGATTATCATAAATATGATTATACATTTAATTTGTAGGTGTGCAGAATAGTTGCACACATACAGTGTGTGCTGAAGGATTTGGTTAGAACTCAAAAGATTTTACTGTAGAGCTGAAAGGAACATTCTCATGTCAAGAATCCTCCATCTTAAATTTCAGTAAATCATTAATGTGGAAATTGTTAAATATGTAGAATTAATTTTATCATCAACACAATGTCTTATTCGAGCTGAAAGGAAATAGTATCTGAGTACCACATCAGTGTAAGTTAAAACTGAGATGGATGTGTTGTGTTTATTTAATGCTTTAGAGAAACCATGAGGCAGAAGTACTTTATTGTACATCCACAGGAGACTTAATTAAAAATTAAAACAAGTTTTGGGTAAATTGCACACCAGTCCTTCATACTTTTGGAATTTTTTTCCCAAAGATTTTGGACATTCTGCAACCCTGTATAGGAACCGAACCTTCTCTGTAGCACAACTGAAGAGAAGGATATTAACATAGTGGTGGATAAGTAACTCAAGTCATTGAAGCAATGATCCATTTCTGGTTGTAAAGCTAATATATTTATAGAATGTATTTACAGACATGTTGAATACAAGTTAAAAGAGGTAATTATATTCTTTATACAAATCACTAGTTAGGCCTCACTTGGAATATTATGTATAATTTTGATCTTATCAAGAAAGGATGTTGACTTATTGGGAAGGGTTCAGAGGGGGATACTATAATGATTCTATGGATGGAAGGGTTAACTTACAGAGATAAATTTAGATTTCATTGTTTATTTTATCTTCAGAAAAAAAAGGGTGATATAGATTTTACTGAAGTTTTAAAAGATTGTGTGGGCATTGGTTAAGAAAAACGTCTGATTTGTTTGTGGTGCTTTATGAAAATATTAGGATGAGAGGATATATCTTTAAATTTTTGAAGGTCACTTTTCTTATTGGATGATTAGCTCATGGAATCAGTTGCCATCAACACTCTTCAGTAGTAGAAGGAGCAAATAGCTTATACTTTCCAGGACAACACTTATCATCCCATTTAAAAATATGAATGACATTAACAACTCTTATCCTTAGGCACTTGACCCACCAGAAATTACAGAGAGGTTTGTTTATCTGTTCTTTGACCACCTTTAAAGCACAGTGAAAGAAACCTTATCTGGCCCTGGTGCTGTAACTATTCTTAGTCTCTCAACCTTTGTACTTACCACCATTTACCAAGGTGCGTCTCAGGGGTCA